CCCCAAAACCCCAAAACCCCAAAACCCCAAAACCCCAAGAGGGAGTGGAGGGGTTGAAGGAAGGGGAGGGAGAGGTTAATTTGGAAGGTAGGTATGAAAGGTACTGATGGTGGAGATGCAATGCTTGGGGTGTTAAGAGATATTTTTAGGGGGAGAGAATTATGAGATTTTAAAGCTTTTATATAAATTATAAGGACTGTATAAAATTAGTTGGAATTGAAGTAGTGTTTATCTAGTAATTTGAACATATATTAGCTTCAAAATTTCAAGATCCGGTATGGAAGTTATTGAAGAAAAATTAGGGGAAAATATTATTTTTATTACCTAGTATCCTGAGACAATAAACCTTACTCTGAATAACTATATACCATTATAAAGAAAGAAGATAATATATTGGCACCTGAAAAATAAAGACACCTTACCACTGTTATATAATAATAACATCATAAAATTTCTATTTTAATATGACACAAGTCTATCAATTAACACAGACAGTTTTCTATCGCATAGAGCTTTGAAAGTAAGATTTTTTCGTCAATAATAATCCAAAAGTGTTTTATTAGACTTCTAATCATCATCCCTTTATCTTAAGTTTGCTACTATTTCATATGAGAATAAACCATTCTCTGAACTACATCTAAATGTACTAATTTTAATATGAACCCATAAGTTTTATTGATAGAAAAATAGGTCCAAAATCTTATGTTTGCTGTTTGATATACTTGGAACCACTACCCTATCTTTCCATGGAAGTCCATTTTTCTATCTCATTAATTTTCCAGATTTCTCCTCCAAAAAACAATATTTTACTATCTAAATAGTTCTAAAATATGGCTAGGAAGAACAAGCTCATGAGGAAATAATAAAGCAGAGTTAGCATCCTGAAAAATAATTAAAGTAATGGAGAAATTAGATAATGGACTAGAGAAAATTATTAGCAATTAGTAATATTTATCGTGGCTGATGAGTGCAAAGGAAAAGCGTCAGGAATTTATGCCATCAGCATTCTTAAAATCTTCCTTGAAGAAATTTTTCTTAGTAGTATACCTTCTTTCTCAGTGAGGATCTGGCTAGCATAGTTAGAAGGAGAGTTGAAATCAAACTTCATTGGTTTCATGATTTGCTTTATCAGACTCCCTTTAAGCTCAGCTTTGAACTCAAAGTCGTTCTCTTCTTCAGACAAGCCATCACTGGATTCTTCAGGCACTCAAAGGCTTTCAGATGCTACCTCTCTGACCTCTTTTCAAGGTTTACCTTTGTTCTCCTTAAGAGTGTTTGAGAACTGCCTTGTAAAGTTAGGCTTCTGAGGAGATCAGTCTTCAGTAGCTTCAGCGCAGATCTGATCGTCATCCCAAATGTTATCATAACATTTAGCCAATCCTATTCCTTGTTGCAAATTCATATAATTAATTATTATTAGATCACTTCAACAGTGAGAGCATTTAACGGGGTTTTGGGGTTTTGGGGTTTTGGGGTTTTGGGG